CATTTGGAAGGGGATGTTGCATGACTTAGCCTCAAGGCTTGACCTTTCCTTTTGCATAAGGAGTTGGGCATGGGAGGTCCTGAGACTTTCATTTTACTTTACAAGGGTTCAGTACTACCTGCAGTTTCAAACATCTACTGGGAGCCTTGGAATGTATACCCCAAGGATAAGGTATCCTACTTTATCTTAGGAAAGCAACTACAGATAATATGTAAATGGATGGTTATGGCTGTGGGCTAACCATCCATTTATTACTGGATCATCAGTCAGTGATATGTATCTGGTTCTCATTTGTTTTCTTTCCATTAAAAATTTTGGGGCATGGTGGCTCACTCCTATAATCACAGTGCTTGGGAAACCAAAACAGGAGGATTACTTGAAGCCAGTAGTTTGAGATCAGCCTGGGCAACATAGTGAGACCCCCATCTCTACAAAGTAAAAAAAAAATTTTTTAAAGCAGCCTAGTGTGCTGGCACACCGGAAGTCCCAGCTACTCAGGAGGCTGAGCTGGGAGAATTGCTTGAACCCAGAAGTTCAAGGTTACAGTGACCTCTGATCAGACTAGTACACTATAATTTAGATGAAAGCACAAGACTCCATCTCTTAAAACAGTATTAATGTTCTGACATTTTGGGCTGGATGATTAAAGAGAAAATTTTTTTAATTTCAAAAATGAGTTTTAACTTTAGCTGATCAATAATCCATATGCATGTCTCAAGTGTGACTTTTTGGTTTTGAATGGTCATTCATAATTTATTCATTGTCAAATAACTTTTTAAATGGTTGTCTAAGGGCAAGAAGTCACAAATAAATGATATATGGAGTGATGATACAAGGATATTAGCACAGAATTTGCATTCTTGAACCAAACACCGTTAGGACACTGGCTTAACTGTACTAGTTTTACAGGACTAGCAACCATCAATCACCATATTGCTAAGTTGGTGTATAAACTGAACAGAAATTATATATCTGAAGTTAGAGTCCATGTAGAACTTAATCATTCTGAGTCCATATCATGAGGCCCATTTTGTATTTTATGTGGATTTATGTCTTTAATATGCATGGAAGGTATAACCAAAGATTTAAAATGGGTTTTAGAACCAAGACCAAACAGACCAAACTCTTAGGTAACTATAGCCAAAAAGCAATCACTTTTATTGTGTATACTATTGATTAGAATAGGCTATGCTAATTCAAGCCTTAGGTTCAGAAAGCCAAAATTATCCCATTTGTGAAAGCTTAGTCTGGTTAGCCATGAAACAGGTGTAGGAAAGACTAAATTTTTTTAGTGAGTTAAATGTTTTGGGAAACTAGGGACTTTGTGTGTGTAAAACTCTGACAGAGTTCATATATTGGTTCAAAGCTGCTAGTCACCTCTAATAAAGGACTTTGAAGAATTAAATTAGCCAGTAAGAATTCCAATCTAATGCCCACTCTGGTCACTCTTTGGGATGTGGCCAAAACAGATATACTGCATACTGTACACTTTGCAAAATATATGGAAAAGAAGGAAAATGCCCACTTTAATTAAACTGCAATCACCGTAATTACAGTTATAGTGATACTTGGAAACAGAGATCAAGTAACAGCTAACAGGCTTCTATCTAGCTCCAAACTGGTGACAGGAAGAGGACGAAGATGAGGAAGGGCAGGCACTCAGGAGATGAAGTACAATTTCATATGGTAGATCAGGGTAACCAGGATACTTCATTCACTATTGCTCCTGGCTGAGACTAAACATTAAGACTTGGGTCAGTAAGAACATTCAGTATATTGGACTGTGACTTTACAAAAACTAAGTAGACCAAGTAATGAACAAACCTCCTGAAAGCCATAGGGATAAAACATAAGCTTGCTTAATATGCCCACTAATAAATATTTTCCTGAATTTCTTTGGAGTTGTTCCCTTGAATTTAATGTTGTTAATCTCTACTGAATGCTTCTGAAGACCAAAAACTCACAATCAAAAGAGAAGGCAGTAGGCTATATCCTCTTTCCATTTTTAGATATACTCAGGTTTCTTGTGCTTTTAAATAGTATTTATCATCAACTTTTGATAAGCATTTGCTAAGTAACTTGTAATCACACAACCTTCTATAAGAAAAAAGTAAAATTTTAAACTTGTAAAACAGATTAGAAAGTGATTATTCTAAGAACTAAAATTTATTTTCTTTAAAAAAGGCTTCGCAGCAGGATTTCTCTAATGATCGTATGTAGGGCATTTGAAATTAATTCAAGTTATACTTATCTTACACACCATTTTGAGTATCATCTGTTGAATTTCAAACTGTCCCCAAAATCTGTTCCTATCAATCATTTCATCAAGTGGAATTATGAACACTCTATTCTAAGGTGGGCTTTAATAAAATGCTTCCATTATTAATTCTGTATTTCTAACTCATAATTATCTTACAGTTCTTTGTCAAAAGATGCATCCAAAGCATTTTCCAAAATATGCTCTGTTATAATAAAGAGTGTATTTACTTTACATCAAGAAAACAAAATTTGTTAAAATATGTGCTAGAAGCCAGAAACTTTCACTTGGTATTGTCAGTTTTCTAATTTTTGCTACTCCATTCTCCACAGAATAATATCTCAGGGTATGTGTGTGTGTTTTAATTATTTTTTCAGCTTTTTATTAGGTATAATTTCATACAATAAAATTCATTTGTTTCAAATGAACATTTTTTAGTAATTGTTTATACAACAAAGTATAGAGCATATCCATTTCCCTTAAGTTTCCTCATATCCTTTGATCCCATATCCTGACACTAGCCTCTAAGAAATCACTAATCTTCTTTCTCTCAGTATAGTTTTGCTTCATGTGTTTTAATTTGCATTTCCCTGATAACCAATGACCTGCAGTATATTTTCATACCCATTCTGACCATTGCCTATATCTTCTTTAGTGAAGCATCTGTTCAAGTCTTTTACCAGATTTTTACTGGATTGTGTTCTCATTACAATTTTAAGGGTTTCTTATATATCCTTATTGTATAAATCCTTTGTCTGATTAATGTATTGCAAGTATTTCTTTTCAGTCAGCAGCTTGTATACAATATATTGTTTTTTTCAGGTTGCTTTCAAGATTTTCTCTTCATCATAGTTTTCAGTAGTTTGACAATGATCTTTCTAGGTGTAGTTTTATTTGTATTTACCCTAATTGGGATTTGCAGACCTTGTAAGTCAATATTTCTTCATAAAAGTTAGAAAAGTTTTGGCCATTTTATTCCAGCCCTATTTTCATCCTTTTATCCTCTGGATCTCCAATTATACATGTTGTTAGTTCTTTTGATATTTTTCCCACAGGACTCTGAGGCTCTGGTTTTTCTTCCATCTTTCTTTTTTTAGATTGTGTATTTTTTTTCACTCTGATGAAAGTCATAAAGATTATATAAATTGATCTATCTTCAGGTTCACTGACACTTCTTCTGACATCTACAATCTGCTGTTAATTTTATGCAGGGGATTTTTCATTTCAGTTATTTTACCTTTTTGTCATAATATTTTTCTCTTTTTACTTTCCATTTCTCTCCTTATTGCTTCACTCATTAAGATGACATTTCCTTTATATCCTTGAACATGTACATAATAGCTGCTTTAAAGATTTTGCAAAATTCAACATTTGGGTCATGTCAAGGTTTGTTCTTCTTGACTGCTTTTATGCTTTACCATAGGATTCATTTTTCTGTTTCTTTCCATATCTAGTAACTTTTGACTACATACCACCCCTTATAAATATGTTGTAGAGAATCTGCACTGTATTTTCCTCTAAAAGTGCTGATTTTTATTCCAGTAGGCCGGTTACTTTCAAATTATGTAGGCTTGGTTTAATGCTTTATTAGTGTGGATCTGTAGAAGGCCCGAAGTGTTTTCGAGCTCTTTTAATTTGGCAGGGCTCACCCTCCAAATGGTGTTTCCCTTGAGATCTTGATTTTAGATCTATATATTATTAGAGCTTGATTTTAATCTATATTCTGGAATGTCGATGCTTATTTACAGTTTGAGAGCTGAAACAACCTCAGCTAGGAATGTGCATGTTGGGCATCTCAAATTTTTTTTAGCACTCTGCACATATCCACAAATGACCACAAAAGTGCTGTATTAATTTTGGGGTTATAAATAAATTTTAGCAAGTAAGCAAATTTCCAAATATGGAATTCATGAATAATGGGAATCAACTTTTTTTTTTCTAGAAAGCATAATGAAGATATTTTAATGCTTTAAAAAGGTTAAGTGTCTCCTACACAAGAACCAAAGATAACTTTCTTACTAACTCAGGGCCATCATTATAATAATCAAGGAAACAATGCTAAAATCTAATGAAATCTTTAAGGTTCTTAGAAGCCCCAGGTAGCAACAATTCTTAACGTTTCTGCTGTGTGTTTTTTGCCTCTTATTTATGTTTTTTTAAAAACCAATACCTTAAGGTACCTTAGCCGTATGACCTTGCAGAAGTAAACTTTGCGGGTCTTGGTTTTCTCATCTATAAAATGAAGAAATGTATTTCTAAGGTCTCTTCAGGTCTAAAATAATATTTATTTTCTAGCTGTCTCTGTTTTGGCTTCTAGATGCTATCCCCTCTTCCTTTCTAATTTTCTAATCTTATGTGTCCTGAAAACAATCTGAAGGACAACTCTATTAGATCATTAAAAAAGACATTCTAACTAAAGACTTGAGATTTTTTCTAAATAATGTGCATACATATTTTGGCAAATAGAAGACCTCTAAACATTTACTCCCTAAATCCTACCTATACTCCAAATAGATATGTAAAATTAGTTGTACATCCTAACAAAGTAAAAACAACTCATAAAACATAGTTAAGTATAAGGAAACCAAATACCTGACCTGTCACATTATGTATAGAAAAAAATAAACAAGAATAACAGCATTTTTCCTAGAATCTTCCCTGATCCAATACCTGAGATAATAGAGAAACACACACAGTTTGAAGAAACCATTATTAAAAAGCCTTATAAAAATATACAAGCAAATTGATTGTTGACTTATTTATTGAATTAAAATTATACTATGTATAAAATAATCTATATGCAGAGGGATTTAAAGTGTCACAATATATACAATTATCTTTACAAAGTCAGGATGCAAGTTACAATGATTCTGACTACAAAATTTATATTAAAACATTTTCCGTAAGTGATTTATTTCGCTGTTTTTGTTCGAAGTCGTCGTTTGAGAATCTGGTGATCACTCTCCTTCAGTTTTGGGTCCATTAGAATCTGAAATTAACATTTTCACAGTTTTTCAAAAATTAAGTGAAAATAAAATGAAAGTTTGTTTATAATGAATAAGATATGTTCATGTGCTTACTAATTGAAATAATAGTTACATTAGAGCAATGTTTATGCTCAGATTATAGCCATATCATATTTTATAAAAATACATGCCTAAAAAACAATAGATTTTGTAAAAGATTCTTTCAATACTACCTAACTCTAGAATTAAAATAACCTATACTCTGTATCGAATTCAGGGCATATATAGCTTAAAATAATTATTTAAATATTTGAAGACAAGTATCTCAAACAATTTTTAAGAAATGATCTTTCATGGCAACAAGTATATAACTTAGAAAGTAAAAAGCATATTATACTACAACTAAGAAAATAAATGATTTTCAGCCAAGGGAGGAAATTATGTACTAATCAGACAGATGGTGAAAACTGACTGACAGAATAGTATTTACTATTAGCATGCCTTAATTGACCCTAACTCTTTACCACTTGCCTTCATGTGCCAATCTCATATCTAATAGTTACTGTTGCAAAAAAAGGTTTCTCCTGATTTTTCTTGACCACTTCCTTTTGAAGATTTTTCCTTTAATTATTTTTCTACCTTCACTTTCATCTACTAAGCAAATGCAAGCATGATAGAAAATTAGAACTTTCCCTGCAACAGTACAGACTGTTCTGAGGGAAGAGAATGAGTCATGGAGTCAGGATGACAACTATAGTCTTTTCGTAACAGAACCTGGAAGGCTTAGAAGAAAGATGAAAGAAAATGGCTGAATCTCAATTCTATATTTTTACCACACACGCTTGGGCCCAGATTTGCACAACTCTTGTGCAAATCTTTACCACAACTCTTTACCACAAGAGTTGTAAAGATAACAACAAAAAAGAGATGTTAGAGGCAAATAAGTTACTAAATAGTGATAATTCTGTTGATGGAAATAAATTCCTCTGATGAGTTTTCAGATGCAAATTCATGACAGTAGTATACATTAATAATTGTATAACTATTGAGTTATATTTAATTAGTATACATTTAACACACTGAGATAAAAATTTAACAATAAAACTAAAACTATGGTCTTTAAAGCATGTGTTTTAAGAGAGCTGATCTAAAGAACAGAAATTCAAACCATTATAAAAAATTACAAAGACCATGAACTTTCTTCTGGGAAGAGGCTTCATAAATAAATAAATAAGAACATGAATAGTTTTACATTGATGAAACTGAAATACTATCTTACCACTTGGCCTGATATATCAATAGGAGATGAAATTTCATTTGTGTATAATTTCCGTTTGGCTCGTTTTGATTGAGACACATTTTCTTTACTTGCTTCTACATTTGAGAGCTTTGAAGAGCTCATGGTTTCAAGTATTTTCTTTGCTGGAAATAAAAATGTTAATTAGTTCTTAAAACCAATAATTTTCTATTAATAACTTCAAAAGTTTGAAATTCTTAATAAAGAACATATATACAAATGAAAAATACTACAATATATAAAGGCTGAAAGAACATGTGTAGACAATTCACAAAGAAAAAAATAAATGCCAAAGAAATGCATGAAATAATATTGTAAAAAAAAAAAAAAAGCAAATAAGCAAAATATTTAACTAATGTTCAACACAGTAAAAAGATTTTGGTAAATTATATTACATCAGTAAAATTCTGGCCTCTTTAATAATTTGGAAGAGGTTTATGCTATGTTAAACAAAAGAGCAGGATACATATATAGTGGATCATGTAGCATTAAAAATAAGGTGGCAGCTCTCTTTTCTACATCTTAGAGCCTGTGGAGGTCTCCTGGGAACAAGACTTCTAAAAGGCAAACATGTCTGGAAGGCTGTGGTGGAAGGCCATTTTTGCTGGCTATAAGCGCGGTCTCTGGAACCAAAGAGAGCACACAGCTCTTCTTAAAACTGAAGGTGTTTATGCCCGAGACGAAACTGAATTCTATTTGGACAAGAGATGTGCTTATATATACAAAGCAAAGAACAACACAGTGACTCCTGGTTGCAAACCAAACAAACCAGAGTAATCTGGGGAAAGGTAACTCAGGCCCATGGAAACAGTGGCATGGTTCGTGCCAAATTCCAAAGCAACCTTCCTGCTAAGGCCACTGGACACAGAATCCATGTGATGCTGTACCCCTCAAGAATTTAAACTGATGAAAAGTAAATAAATAAAAGTAGATTTGTAAAATAAATAAACAATAAGGTGGCAGATTATCTAGTTCAGTGCTCATGAATAAAGATGGCCAATGAATATTAAGTGCAAATACTCTATGATTATAAACTCTTTGTTTACTGTTTGCTTTCTGTCCTTTAGTGCATATGTGTGTGTGAACTATAAAAATAAACAGTTAATTGCATCTAGGAAGTAAAATAGGAATTTTTAAATTCCTTATTCTGTACAGTTGCTTTGTTTTTTAATGGGCAAATACTGATTTTAATAGAAAACATATCTCCATCTCAAAAAATTCCTAGATAGAAACTCCATACATATATATCCATATACATATGATATCATATGCATACATATACATATGATATCAACTAGATATTTTTTTTAATTTTCTAAAAATTTAAGGAAATATATTGAGAGTCTAACTTGTCAAGGGCTGAGCTGAGTTTGAGAGAGCTGAGCTTCCAGACATCAGAGTAGATAACCAGGACAACAAGCCAGAATGAAAGTAACACCCCAGATTCTTAACCACTTGTTACACTAGTATAAGCAAGAGTCTAAACCTGAGAAAGCACCAGCTTCTCCCATCCTCTTCTATATTCCCCCTTGGATTGGTACACAGCCTAGGGTCAGGTGGATCAGCACAGAAGTAGGGGTCATCTTACTACCCAGACAGCCCCAAGCAGTTTTATGGACTTCAGTGCTGGAGTTTGGGTGGAAGTGGGGGGAAAGCTACAAGTAGAAAAGTACTGAGTCACGGTGGAGAAAAGTGTCCTCAAGGTTCCTTCCCCTTCCCCTCTCTAAGAAGGTCTTGGGCGGAGATGCCTGAGGAAGGCCTCTGTAGAAGGCCCCAGTATAGAAGCTCTGAAGGCAGGCACCCAGGCTAAACCTGCAGATAAGTCAAAGAACACAGTTGGCCGGGGGACCTGGGCCCTTGATTGTCACTCTTGTAAGAAGCTATAATTCATCAGCCATACACCAAATCTGGTGTAGAAAGGGAAGCTTTCCCTCATGAAGCCTATCAGGTAAGTCTTTGGCACTGCCTGTGGTCAGGCCAGGGGTGGGAGGGTGGGGGTGGAGGGTAGATTTTGGCCTGAAGCCAAACTCCTCACTACTCTGTGGCTGCCAGTCACTAAGAGCTGAGGGTATAAACTAGACAGTTAGTCCTTGTGGAGCTTATATTTTAGTGGAAAAGAAAATAAAAAATTATGGTTTAAATAAATGCTAAGGAGGAAAAAAAATAGGACTGAGTAATAACAATTAAGTGAAGATGGGAATGAGGTTAGTAATACTGTGATGAAAGAAGTTGTCTCTCTGATAGCAGAGATTGGAAAAAGCCAGGGTGCATTCCAGAGAAAAGAAAAAGCAAAGAAAGCAATGTTATCAGGGCAATAAAGAAGCCCACATACTCTGGAACTATCGGAAGCTAGAATTGAAGCTGGCTAGTTATCAAACCATAAAATAACAGGAGATAAGATGAAGAGAAAAAGTGTCAGAAATCAAGTCATTCAGGGGAATGAGAAATCATTAAAGGATTTAAAACAGAGGAGTAACGTAATCAAATTTGTACTTAGAAAAGATGGCTCTGCCTGTCCTGTGCTGAATGGATAGGAGATGGGCAAGAAGGGAAAGCTGGGAGATCAGTGATGTTGAGTGATGGTCTGGTTTAAGAGTGCTTTTCAGAGCAACAGAATTTTAAGTAAGAACTAAATCTTTTTTTCTTTTTTCTCTATATTTCCAAGTGACCCACAACAATATATATGTATTGTAGCTACAATCCAAAATAGGGATTTATATTCCTGGGGGGGCGTGTAGGGAAGAAATCCATGTCAGGTATATTGGTAGGGAAGCTGTTAAAGAACTCAGTCAATCCAGTCAGGGAGACATTGCCCTTACTTGATTACTTACTTATAAACACCGCCCTTTCCTTTAAAAAACATGCTTCTTTTTAATATTTAAGTAACAGTCAATATCATTTAAATAAAATACATAAGAATCTAAAACAAGAAGTCCTTCCTCATCAAATTTAGACATTTAACTATTTGCTATATGTCCCTCCAGATATTTTCTATATATCTATAAATTTTTCTATATATCTATAAATACATATCTATATATTTTCTATACCTATAAAACCATAGATTTAAAACAATATATTTTTTGTAAAAATATACAAATGTGTCTGATATTCTGAAGTTCCCAAACTGTGCACTAAGGCATTGCTGCAGCAAACTCATAGGAGCAACTCAGGACATTTTAAATCTTCAAGGAAAACAATGATAATCAATACCCCAAGGTTCACAGTTTGAAAATGATATCAAATGGCATTCCTTTTGATGATGACATTATCTTTGCAACCAGGATTTTCAGAAGCTGAATTTTCAGTAATCGTTTGGCCTTACGTTCTAATAGATGAGACTATTAGGTAATTCTTTGGATCTAGGGGCACTGTGAACTGAGAAAGTTTGGGGACCTCTGTGATAAGTTTTCACAGAAAGTATATTCACATAACCTATCTGACTCAGTTCAACTGCCCTCTGCTTCTAGTCCCTTTTCTTCCCCATTCTTCCTACCTCTGGTGTCTAATTCATGCGAATGCTACCACTCAGGTAATCTCACAAAACCCATTCTTCCATCCTCCCTCCCCTACCCCTGCCAAGTAGTCCTTCCACATTCTATATGCCAGATGCATATTGCTAGCTGGAATTGCATGAATATTCCCTGCACTTTTCTGGTACTCTACCAGTGTTAAAACCATTCCCTCTGGTGGATGGACATACGTACATACACACATATGTGCGTGTATGTAGTATATATATATTAATATAGACAGAAGTATTAACATGTCCACATTATATTATAAATAAAAAGCACTAAGCATACTGTTTTTGCAACTAAACTCAATAGGTATGCATAAAAACATATGTTTTGACATATGTAAATAAGTAATACTTATATATGCATGGGGGAAAAATAGTAGCAGGACGTATACCACAATACTAACAGTAATTACCTCTAGAGGGTGCAATCCAACCAAAATTTTAATACCCAGGGTAAACCCCATCTCCTCCACAAAATCTTCCCAAAGCTCCCTAATCAGAAGAGCTCTCTTCCCTTCAATACTATCAAATGACTTTGCTTGAACCTCTGTAACTATATTAAGCAGCCTACTCTGGATCAATTACTTAAACATAAGCCTTTCTTCTCAATACATAGTGAATATCTAGACATATCATCCTTTCATCTGTTTCTTCTCACACTACCTAGCATAGGACAATGCCTATTTGAAGTATAATACTCACTGAACATTTGTTGAATTTATATACCAATTAGGTCTCAGAAAGCCCCCTCCATCTTAGAAAAGGTCATTTAATTAATTTTCTGCAAACCTTTTGATTGAAGAATTGTTGGAGAACGTTGTATGAAGTCTCCAAATTTCTGCAGAGTTCCTTCTTTCTTCTTAGTGGCCAAGTTTACATCAACTGTGGATGCCTGACTCCGTAAAGAATATGTTTTCTTAGATGATGTACGCGTAGAAACCTAATAAACAAACATTTTTTGTTATTGTTGATGAAGAATGTTAGAAGGAAATATTTATGGCCACAGTTGAATTAAAGAGGCCAGAGACAGCTTATGAATTCTCCAGGTAGGAAACTTGGGATTAAGTATAAGGGTCAGAGAATGGCAAAATAAATTTGATAGGCAGTGTGTTAAAGTCAGAAGTAGACACATGGAGATGTGCCTGCTACTGGCCAAATACTAAAAGTGATGTTCTAAGCTGAAATAGCTGAATAGGAAACAGAAGATAAATGAATTACAATTGAACACAGCTGGATTTTTGGATCATTGTTACAATTTTGGACAAAGTAAAAAACAAACCTTTTGTTCCTTTCTGACAGAAGAATTTCTATGCTCCAAAACAGGGAACTTCAAATTAGTTCTGGGTGTAGCATTCTTCTTATTTTCACATTTCAGCAAGTCCTAAAAATAAAGAATTTCAGCACCAGTTAATTTCCTAACAAAATTTTCTTTCTCTAAACTCAAAAAAGATAATCTGTGAAGTTACATTAACACTTAAGACAGTGGTTCTTAACTGGGGGCAATTTTGACTTCAGGAGACAATGGTAATATTTGGAGATTTTTTTGATTGTCATTGCCAGGGAGAAGGGGGATGTTATTGGTTATAAATGGGTAGAGGCTAGTAATGCTGCTAAACACCTCTACAATATCCAGGATAGCCTCTACAACAAAGACGTATCTAGCCCAAAATGTCAATTGCGCTGGGGGTTACAGAACCCTAACTGAAGGAGTGACTTTTTCACATACATCAAAATAATGCAATTACATAAGCTAACTGAAAAACATAGAAAGGATAATATCTTTTATTTGAACTTCATCTTTAAAATACAGCATAGCAATACAGCATCTTTAATATATAGCATAGCAACATACCCTGCCCCTAACTCCCAATGATATTAATAGAAGCATCTATGTCTAAGATCACTCACTGAAAGTTGGTAACATCAAAAACAAAATAAGGGCCAGGTGTGGTAGCTCACACCTGTAATCCTAGCACTCTGGGAGGCCAAGGCGGGCAGATAGAGGTGGGTGGATCATTTGAGTTCAGGAGTTCGAGACCAGCCTGAAAAAGAGCAAGACCCCATCTCTACCAAAAATAGAAAAAATTAGCCAGGCATGGTGGTGCATGCCTGTAGTCCCAGCTACTTGGGAGGCTGAGGCAGGAGGATTGCTTGAGCTCAGGAGTTTGAGGTTGCTGTGTGCTAGGCTGATGCCACGGCACTCTAGCCCGGGCAACAGAGTGAGACTCTGTCTCAAAAAACAACAAAAAAAACTTCACATAAGCACAAATAAAATATGAAAATTAAGATATTTATAATCTTTCGTCTCTACTAAACAGGCATGGCATCCTTACTCTTCTTTTCCCCATATAACCTCACATAGGATAAAGCCTTCTATAGATATATTCACTGACTTGAACTACTGCAAACCTTAGATGTACCAAAGATCATAAGCATAAAAAATGGAAAAAAGCAAGAAGAGAAAGAAAAGATCATGACCAAACCTCAGAATTCAAGTTACCAAGTAAAAGTCATAAGGGTCATAAGAAGCAGACTCCAGGAAAGGGGACAGATAGTAATCATGGGAAGCAAATGAGGAAAGACTATAATGCTAGGTCACCACACTCAAGAGTGTTCAGTAAAGAGCTCCTTATAGTATTAACTGGATTAGAATATAGCATTGTATCGATGATTTTCATGAGGACCCATATACTGTTTATTACAGTAGTGAAGATCTAGCAAAATCAGTTCAACATTTTAAATTTCTACATGATATAGCTACAACAATCTATAAATCTTTTCTGAAATACAAATGAAGAAGGGTATATACCAACAGTAAAATGAATATAATATTTGCATGTAGCAAATTTGGAGTGATTACTACACTCATTTTTTCCTTTTCCCTTGAAAAAACAGATGAAAAAAAGTCAATATAGGTGATAAAACTCAAATACTTAGTGTTCTAATGGTATTTAAAATGTATTTAAAAAATTAAGTATCAAACTAAAGTTAGTAAGACTCTACAAAACAATTTTTTTAAGGTGTATATGTAGCAGGAAAACTATGCTAAATAATATTCCCTCAGCAAATTTATTACCTGACAGAGAGCCTCAGGAGTATGGTTAATACTATTTCTGCTCTTCCACCAGCTTAAAAATATATTAATCTTTAAAGGAGTAAAAGAAAGTTGGAGAAAGTTATTTTGCTTAAGAGTATATAATTAGTTTTAAACTTATAACAAGTTACTTTAAAAATAAACATCATCATTTATTATATATCTACCATATGCAGAGCAAAGGCTAAGCATTTTAAACACAATAATCCATTATTTCAAAAAGAAGGAAATAGGACCAGAAAGCTTATGTGACTTGCCAAATCTTCATGACTAGGATACAGTAGAAGGTTTGACAGCTTTACAATAAAGAAGCTGCAGTAAGAAGAGGTAATTATAATAGGCTAACATTACCCAGAGGCCCAAATTTTAATATAGGCTGACAGAAAAGAATTTCTTTTCCAAAATTTGCTATGACCACAGAGACTGAAGGTTTTAGTTAAATGACAAAGATTGTACTCAAGCAAGTTAGCCATTTTAGTTTCTCTAATTTCTGTATTAACCCTTGTTCTCTTCCACTGGAAGGAAAGTGACTAAGTGGGAACAGGACTGGTATATTTAAACAGTTCTCCAGTAAAATCCACCATCATTTGATCTAACACAGTTTACCTGAAGCAAGTGATAAATTTTAATATCCATTGCTTTTTGTCTGAGAACTGTTAAACCACAGTGATATTCTGAAAGGGTATAAAACATACCATAAATTATGATTTTGGTCTCTAAAAGTAGTGCCTATAAAGAGGACAGCAGTGTAGCACAGCTTACCTATACATTGTAACTGAGCTTAGTAATAAGAAGCTTGTTAAATTTATTCTCCAGTTAAGTATTTACCTCTTCCATTTCATTACTCTTCCTTTTCCGAGCCTTGGAAATCTTAACTGTCACTGGTGTGGTACAACCAGGGTGTTTCACTGCCATTTTGTTTGGCCGTAAAGGTGTAAATTGAATCTCTAACTCAGGCTTTGGAAATCGAGTACTTTGATCATTTTCTGTTGACACTTCACAAGAGTCAAGAACTACAGATCCACCCTAGAACAGAATTAAAAAGGAAAAAAAAATTACTTGTAGAATATGAATTTATAAACCACAAAGAACTAATTCTGTCAAATGACTATTCAAGACAATGGACTGAGAAAAATAAAAAGTGTGCTGGGCCACAGCAAGAACAGAAAGAATGAGTTATCTCTATCCTCTCCAGGTTTATATATGGTATGTGAAAATTTGGGGAAACTTAGAGATCAATATTTCCCAAACTTGTGTGATCACAAGAATTGCCTGGAGAATTTGTTTAAAAGATACCTGGACCTTACATATACAACAAACCTACTAAATCAGAAATCTCCAAGGAAGAAAGCTAGGATTTTTAACAAGCACTCCAGCTCCGGTAGATTTAAAGTTGGCTGCAAATTCTTTCCTACTCCTCCCATTGAGAGATAGAGTCTTCTCCTCTCCTTCAATCTGGCCTTTAATGAATTCTATGGCCAATATGATGTGGTAACACCTGGTCCTTCTAAGGACCATAACATTATAGTCTTCTAAAGCTCAGTCCTAAGAAGCATTGCAACCTCCATCCTATCCTCTTGAAACATTTTCGAAACACTTCTCCTCAAAATGCCCCATCTTAGAATCCAGCCACTGTGCTGTGAGAGGTCCAGGTCCAAGTCACCGGCAGAGGACACATATAAATCCAGTGGAACTTCCAGAATCAACTATCAACTAAGTGAATGAATCATTTTGGAGTTTCGGCCTAGTTAAATACACTGATTTTCACGAAGGCAAGAAAAATACAGAATAGCACAATATGATTCCCAAAACTGGAATATATAACAACTGCTAGAATTATATATAGAAAATTGGAACCAAGAAGTTTTTAAGGCAACATATATAAACTTACGGAGAAAGAAATGTTCTATTATATGTTCGTCCACACAATGAAAAATTAAACCTTTATGGGTTAACTTCAAACTTTTCCACAAACTTTATGATTTGTATTATTTCTAAGGTCAATACTAATCAATTGAAACTCTACCAAGAACTATTAAGGAAAGGTCAATAGAAAAGGAATGGCAAATGTTATTTTCCTAGATTAAAATGCCCTTCTCAGTTGGGTATGATGGCATGCACCTGTAATTCCACCTACTAGGGAAGCTGAGGCAGGAGGATTGCTTGAGCCCAGGAATTTGAGTCCAGCCTAGGCAACATAGCGAAACCCTAGCTCTTAAAAAAAGTAAAAAAGCCATTCTGTTCTCATTCTTTGTTTAGTAAACTTCTATTCACCTTTAAGATTCAGTATATCACCTTCTCTAATCCACAACCACTCAGGCAAAATTCTCTGCATCCTATTCAGTCAGTATTCCTTATTGCACTTTCTTCATATTTCTATCACAACAGCCCATACAAAAAGGTTAAACAAGTTAGTCATTTATATGACTGTATTGTTAGATTTCTCACTCCTTAAGGATGATAATCATATATTTTTAATTTTTATATCTTCAGTTTTTAGACAGGTTCTCAAAACTGAATGTTCCCAATAAATTTGTTTAAAAAATAAATTTAAAAGTAATTTTATTTTCAAAAATTTTAAGTGACATAGAATTTTTATTTATTTCATACCCAATCTGAGAATCTCTATATTATCCAAAGTTACTTAAAGAAACTTGAGCTCAATACAAATTAGGAAAACTCATCATGAGTTATTATTAAAGGTTGGTGACAAAATTGCTAAATGGATACATTTTTTAAAAAAAATACTATTTAATACAATGCTTATTAAAGGAATCTATTATGAGACCAAATAATCATTCCTACTTTATCTTTTGCGGGATTTCCTATTTCTAACCATCAAGTATGTTTATATTAAGAGATGTATTGTTTTTACAAAGAGATTAGCATCTTCTGAGGATCTAATCACCCAAAATAATTTCATCTCAAAAGCCTCTAGCTTTCCTTCACACAGCAGATGGCACATATAACCCACTGTGCAGTAAGGTACCTATAACAAGTGTTATTTAGTAATTCATGGTGAGTAAAGAGGGTAAAAAGTAGACTGTTACCAAATACCCACCTCTATTTCATTCCTAGAAATTTCAAAACTTGTTGAGTGAGGTTCAGATTCAATTCTGCCAAGATCTGTTGAACTAATATGTCTGGGCTTGATAGCCATTGTTTGATTTTCCTAAAGTAAGGAAACATTAAAGCAATAAGCCATTATAACCTAAAAATATATTAAAACACTTCACATAATGAATATAAAATCAAGATTTGTATGGACTAAACAGTGGAAATAATTTAAAATTTCTTCAATGACCCCGTAACCCTCCCACCTCTTTTATCCTCAGAGACTCAGGAAAGCTTGGGCAACCTTCCATCCTCCTCCAAGTCTAATCTAAGGAGAAATGCAAAAGCCCGCTTTCTATTTTCAAAGTGTTTTGTACACATTCTCTCCTTTTACTTTCATTTCAACTCTCTAGTTAGATTTGGCAAGAATCATTATTCCTATTTTCCAGATAAGGAAATATAGATCTACATGTTAAATGCACAGCCAAGGTCAGTATTGAGCTGGAATTTGAACCCCCAAAACTGCTTTTGATAACACAATTTTGAAAAACTAGAGGCTTCTTGGGAATGCAACTATAGCATGGGATTAGCAAAGTCCATAATGAAAACTAAATCTTTTCTTGCAGCACACTCTTCAACCCATTTCCTCAGTCATAAGGTAGATTCTATTCCTAAATCCTACTTAAGAGATTTATAAAGAAATATCAGATTATATTTTTAAACTTGATAAATTCCAACATAGACCTCCTCATCATAGCCATCAAAATCAAAAGTCAAATATACCTTTTATGTAACTTACAGATTATGTCCAAGTAAGAAAGATCCTATTGAATTCATAAAAGGGAAAGCAACTAGCATATACTGACTTCCATGGGAGTAATAACTATGCTACTTGTTTTACAAATGTTAAGAAAACATTTTAACATTCAGAAATGTTAAGTAATTTTCCCTAAGGGTTCCAAAACCACAGTGACAGTAGTTGATATGTAGTTTTTCTGACTTTCAAATCTGTGTTATTAAACAACATGATACTACCTCTTAAAGTAGGCAATCTCTCTTTGAATCATAAAGTCTTTTGATGTGACACACACACACACACGCACACACACACATTTTTCCTATTGTTTGAAGGCCTCAGAACAGCTGATTTTTAAGCGCAGATCATTTATTCCAGAAAGACTAGCTTCAGACGTACCCAGATTCAATTTACTGGGAAGTAGCTATCTGTGAAAGGCAATCCTCTTTTCATTCAGGGTTCCCAATCCCAATGTACTATTACAAAAGTAATATTTAATATTTATTGACTGCTAAATAAAAGACTCATAATGTGTCCCCACTACAGGGCTCACTTTCAAAATAATTTGTATCTTTATATAATAAACTTAAGGGTGGGCCTAAGTACTTAAATATCATAAAGAGTTCATGTTGAAACCCATTTTTAAATTTTAAAGGTAGATTAGGGATTATATCATGAACTGTTGATTTTCTAGTTTCTCTACCTGGGAGATATAACCAAAATATTGAAGAAAATTCTATATCTCAGTCATTTAATGATAAATTCTGAAAATTCAAAACTCATGAGAAATATTCAAATATTCCAAATTCTGATTCCTCTCTGGTCTACTGAGACTTACTTTTTTATATTTTAAGAGTTAATCAATTAAACAATTTTGAAAAATTCCTGTGTTCAATAAAAATGGCATAGAAAGAACAAGATTCTACTAACTGTTTTAGAAGCCTCTGATGTGATCTTTTTTAACTGTTCAATTTCATTATCTTTCTGTGTGTTATTGGAGATCAGTGCTTTCATTTGTATTTCTAAAGCTGCAACCAGCTGATCCCGTTCTTCTCGCCACTTTTTAAGGTCACTATCTTTCTTTGTCAGCTGTTCTTTTAGTATTTCCTAACCAAGAAATAAAAAAAAAATATTAAAGTAAACTTTCAGACATTATGAATCTAAAAACATTTAGAAACTGTTATTATACATAACACCATGAATACAACTGTGAACAAGACATATAACAAATTATATCGTCAAGTCTAGATAAAATATTTATTTATAAAACAAAATACATAATACCATTTTATACATTAAATGTACAATGCTATATCCCTATCCCACCTCATTCCAAAAATCAGCTTATTAGTAACTTCTTTCAATAAACAATTATAGTTGTTGCTTTTAAACTAATACCAGCATTTCTCCCCCTGTTGAGGAAATGGCAGGATAAAGTTACAGTAAAATAAATGGCAAATCTAATAGTAACAAAAAATAGGAAAAATGAAAATAAAAATATACCATTTACCACGGGTTAAAAAAATATGAAATACTTAGTGGAATATTAAAGAAAATTATGTGTAAAACCTAAACATAAAAAACTATAAAACACTGCTGAGAGAGATTAAATAAACTCCTAAATATTAAATAAATGAAGAGAAAATTTGTGTTCATGGATCAAAAAATTCAGTATCATTGTCAGTTCTCCTAAAATAGATCTATAGAATAAAGGCAATTTCAATCAAAATCCAGATGCTTGTGCATGTGGAAAGAAATGGAAAAGCTGACTCCAAAAGTTATATGGAAATGTAAAATGCTCTAGAATAGCCCAAACTATCTCAAAAATAATGAACAAAGTGGACGTAATCAACTAGGTCATTTCAAGATACTACAATAATCAAGACAGTGTGATAATGATGTAGGATAGAGAAATCAGTGGAACAGAAGAGAGAGTCCACAAATGTATGGACTATTGACAGGACTACTGACATTCTGCAAGAGCCAAAATCAATGAGGAAAAGGACAGTCCTCAACAAATGGTGCTGCAACAACTAAATAACCAAATGAAAAAAAATGAACCTCAACCGTAATCTTATGCCACATACAAAAATTAACTCTTGGACAAATGATTTATGAAAAAAGTAGCAGAGCAGTGGGGACAAAACAGTCTTTTCAAAAAATACTCCCAGGTCCACCATATAAACAGAAGCAAAAACAAAGACCATACGATCCTCTCAATAGACGCAGAAAAAGCATTTGAGAAAATTCAACACCCTTTTATGATAAGACGCTTAACAAAATAAGCATAGATGGGCCTTACCTAAAAATGATACAAGCCATATATGACAAACCCACAGCCAACATCATACTGAATGGGCAAAAATGGAAAGCATTCCCACTTAGAACTGTAATAGGGCAAGGTTGCCCACTATCTCCACTTCTATTCAACATAGTGCTGGAAGTCCTTGCTATAGCAATCAGGCAAGAGAGTGGAATTAAGGGCATGCAAATGGGAGAAGAAAAAATCAAACTCTCACTCTTACTCCTTGAATTGATAAATGAATTCAGTAAAGTCTCAGAGTCTTTGAGACTCTAAAGTCTCAAAGTCTCTTTGATTTGATATGTATCAAATCAAAAGTATTGATTTGATACAAAATCAATACACACTAATCAGAGGCATTCATATCCACCAGTAACATTCAAACTGAGAACCAAATCAAAGACTCAATTCCCTTCAAAAGAGCAACAAACAAAATAAAGTACTTAGGAATATATTTAACTAAGGAGGTAAAAGACCTCTACAGGGACCTCTACTATGAAACATTGAAGAAGAAAATAGTAGAGGACATAAACAGGTGAAAAACCATACCATGCTCATGGTCGGCAGAATCAACATTATTAAATTACTAAAATTATTAAATTATTAAAATGTCTATACTACCCAAAGTGATCTACAGAGTCAAGGCTATCCCTATTAAAATACCATCATCATTTTTCACAGATATAGAAAAAATAATTTTACACTTAGTATAGAACCAGAGAAGACCCCGTATAGCAAAAGCAATCCTAGGCAATAAAAACAAAATGAGAGGTATTAATTTACCAGACTTCAAACTATACTACAAGGCTATAGTAATTAAAACAGCTTAGGACTGGCACAAGAACAGGGACATTGACCAGTGGGACAGAACAGAGAACCCAGATATAAAACCATCCTCATATAGCCAACTAATCTTTGATAAAGCAGACAAAAACATACACTGGGGAAGAGAATACTTATTTAATAAACGGTGCTGGGAAAACTGGATAGCCACATGTAGAAGACTGAAACACGATCCACACCTCTCACCTCTCATAAAAATCAACTCACGCTGGGTAACAGACTTAAACCTAAGGTGTGAAACTATTAGAATTCTACAGGAAAATGTTGGAAATACTCTTCTAGACATTGGCCTAGGCAAAGAATTTATGAAGAAGACCCCAAAGGCAATCACAGCAGCAACAAAAATAAACAAATGGGACCTGATAAAATTAAAAAGCTTCTGCACAGCCAAAGAAACTATCAAGAGAGCAAACAGACAACCCACAGAATGGGAGAAAATTTTCACAAGCTACACATCCGATAAAGGCCTGATAACTAGAATCTATTTAGAACTCAGGAAAATCAGCAAGGAAAAATCAAACAACCCTATCAAAAAGTGGGCAAAGGACTTGAACAGAAACTTTCCAAAAGAAGACAGAATAATGACCAACAAACATATGAAAAAATGCTCAACATCTCTAATCATCAGGGAAATGCAAATCAAAACCACAAGATATCACTTATCTCTATTGAGAATGGCCTTTATTAAAAAGTCCCAAAACAATGTTGGCGTGGATGTAGAGAGATAGGAACACTCCTACATTGCTGTTGGGACTGCAAACTGGTTCAGCCTCTGTAGAAAGCAATATGGAGATACCTTAAAGCGATACAAGTAGATCTACCATTTGATCCAGCAATCCCATTAGTAGGCATCTACCCAAAAGAACAAAAGACACTCTATAAAAAAGACACCTGCACTGGAATGTTTATAGCAGCACAATTCGCAATTGCAAAGACGTGGAAACAACCCAAGTACCCATCAATACATGAGTAGATTAATAAAATGTGGTATATGTATACCATGGAGTACTATTCAGCTATAAGAAACAACAGTGATATAGCACCTCTTGTATTTTCCTGGATAGAGCTGGAACCCATTCTACCAAGTGAAATATCCCAAGAATGGAAAAATAAGCACCACACGTACTCACCAGCAAATTGGTCTCACTGATCAACACCTAAGTGGACATATAGGAATAACATTTATCAGGTGTTGGGCAGATGGGAGTGGGGAGGAGGGGATGGGTATATACATACATAATGAGTACAATGCACACCATCTGGGGAATGGACACACTTGAAGCTCTGACTCGAGAGGGGAGGGGAAGGAAGGGCAATATACATAACCTTAACATTTGTACCCTCATAATATGCTGAAATAAAAAAGAGCAAAAAAAATAAATAAATAAAAATAAAAAGTACTACCAGGTCAATTGGTAATCCACATTGAAACAAACAAACAAAAAGAGCCTTAACCCCTATCTCACACCAGCCCAAAAAATTAATTCTAAGATCTAAATAGAAAAAGTAAAACGTTAACACTTTCAGGAACTAACATAATAGACTATAATAGGTCCTTGGGGCTCATATAGGAAAAGATTGGGAAAATTATGATAAATTTCAGAACTTTTATTCATAAAAAGGCAGTAAGTGTGAAAAATCAAACTAGAGATTGAAAGAAGGTACTTGCAACGCATTACAAAGGACTCTAATCCAAAAAAGTATAAAGAACTTCTACAAATAAATAAGAAAAGTTAGACAATCCAATAGAAAAACAGGCAAGGGGACTTGTATAGGCACAGCCAATAAACAAATGCAACAATCTTCAATCTTATTAGTAATCAGGGAAAAGCACATTAAAACCATAAAACATGACTGACAATGACTTATTTTGGTGAGAATTTATAGAGCCTCTAATACTATAATAGTTGAAGTGCAAATGGGTACAACTACTTTGAAAATTATGTCAGCATGCTACTAGAGTTTCACATATACATACCCTATTATCTAGCAATTCTCTTTTTGGACATTATGTGTATCAAGAGCAATGTATAAAAAATGTTTATAGAATTTACCCATTAACAGTCAAAAACAAGAAACTACCCACATATCTTCAACATTAAAATGGATAAACAGCGTTACATTCATACACTGAAATATTCAGCAATGAAAACTAACTCCAGGTATAGGCAACAACATGGATGATTCTCACATATAATACTGAGTGAAAGAAGTCCGGCACAGACACACACACACACATATATATGTATGTGTGTGTGTGTGTATATGTGTGTATATATATATATGCTTCCATTTATACAAAATTAAAAATGGACAAAACTAAAGTCTAACATTGAAAGATGGAATTACTATTACCTTTGGGAAAGAGGCAGAAGAGAGAGCTTCTGGGGTGTTGGCAAAGCTCTATTTCTTGAAATTCATATTAGTTAAGTGGGTGCTGGTTTTATAATAAATAACTCACTAAACTATATGTTTTATTTTTCATGTTATATGTTGCAATTTAAAAAAGCTTTAAAAATAAAAAATTTGTTTCTTAAATATAGCAGACACAAACACCACCTAGGTATGATTATAAAAAAACATGAGAGAAAGGAGCAAGCTAGCTTTCCCTAGGATTAAAAACTCAAAGTGGGTTTACTTCTTGGCATTGTTGCCAGAGAGGCCACTAACTAAGAAAAGAAAATACCCTTCACCCGTTCCTGGGGGTTTGGAACTGAAGCAACGATGACAGCCTTCAGTTTTGATTCTCCCTCTTTCCTCTTTCTATTGGTCAGGAAGGTTTGATAGGCTGTAGGACAAGAACAGAAAACCAGGAGCAACCTTTCCTGTTAAGACAGATGCATCGAACCCAACACTTCCTGGAAGTACCTCCAATCACAAGGAGTTAGCACATAAAATGAAACATCCATTGCAGAGCTGTGGTAATGACAAGTATCTCACAAGATTTGGCATATGACCAAAATAAAAGAGTCAAGACTCTAGGCAAACATGACAACTAAATGAAATGTATTAATAGTACCTACAAATAAATTCTGGACCCAAAAGACGACATTAGAGGGAAAACTGCTGATATTCTAATAAAGTCCAAAATTTAGCTAACAGTCTTATGATAACATTTAATCGGTTCTGATCATTGCACTGTTGTTGCATAAGATGCTAACGTCAGAAGTTGGGTGACAGATATACAGGAGTTCTCTGTATTAGTTTTGTAACTTTTCTGTAAATAAAATGACTTTAAAATAAGAAGGTAAACTCTTTTTTAACAGGAGCAAAGGAAGTTTGTTTATACCAAGTAACACAAAGGCAGAGCACTTAGTAGTAGTAGTAGATCCTCCTCCTTCAGAAAGGAGAGAAACTTCAACAAAGGGCTTTCCCTGAAATGTGGCTTCCACTTTTCCAAGACTATAAATAGTGCACAATTAAATGCCACCTGTCCATAGATACATCATTGAGGGGCTTAAGGGCTACTGCACAGCTGTCCTTTTCTAGCTATGTCCGCTTGCCCAGGGACATGGCCAGTATACTGCTCTGTATTGACTTCCACTTCACTCAAGCATCAAAACAAAAACATCTACAAAGGCAATAGATGCTCCCCAGCATCTTATACAATTGGGGGTAAGTGAACATTGTTTTTCTGGAAGATGGAGTGTCTAAATTATCTAGTGGGAAAAAAAAATTTAGTACGTTAAAGGAAAAGAGCATGATGTCTGGAGTAGAATACATGCATGGCCTGGAGTTTAGTAAGTAAACTGGAAAGTTTAGCCCACAAAAGACTCATTTTAATAAAAATTGGCCAACTTTATCCAATATTCAATGTTGAAAGAAGCTTTAAAGCTGGAGTGAAAAAGAGTGGGAAAACAATACTTAATTTACTGAAAATCAACTTTCTAGTTTTTATAGAAAAATTTAGGCCGGGTGTGGTGGCTCACGCCTGTAATCCTAGCACTCTGGCAGGCCGAGGCGGGAGGACTGCTTGAGGTCAGGAGTTCGAAACCAGCCTGAGCAAGAGCAAGACCCTGTCTCTACTATAAATAGAAAGAAATTAATTGGCCAACTAATATATATATACAAAAAATTAGCCAGCCATGGTGGCGCATGCCTGTAGTCCTAGCTACTTGGGAGGCTGGCAGGAGGATTGCTTCAGCCCAGGAGTTTGAGGTAGCTGTGAGCTAGGCTGACGCCACGGCACTCACTCTAGCTTGGGCAACAAAGTGAGACTCTGTCTCAAAAAAAGAAAGAAAAATTTAACAGTTATCAAAGTCCACTCCTAAAAAAAGACAAAGGCAACAGATGATAATATGATATTGCCAGGTTACAATTATTGTAAATAGAGAACTGGTTTTTCATTTAAAAACAATGTTTATTTGTTGCTCAACAGTTTTCCTAGGATGAATGATGATTTTAACCTCTTTTTTCTGATGGAAAACACTGCATGTCAAATAGACTAAGTGTCAATTACACAGGAGAAAAAGGCTGGGAGCAGTGTCTCACACCTGTAATCCCAACACTCTGGGAAGCCCCATGAGAGGATTGCATGAAGCCAAGAGTTAGAGACAAGCCTGGGTAATGGCCCCTACAAAAAGTAAAAAAAAATTAGGCAGGCATGGTGGTGCACACCCATAGTCCCAGCTACTCAGAAGATTGAGGCAGAAGGATTGCTTGAGCTCATCAGTTTGAGGATGCAGTGAGCTATGATGATGCCACTGCACCATAGCTTGGGCAACAGAGCAAGACCCTGTCACCAAAATAAATAAAATAAATCAAACAGAAAGGATAAAAACAGGCTAAGGTAGAATCATTACAAGAGTTATAGAACTATAACTAATCAATATAACATCATTTGTATTATATAGGTAAAGTCTTCTAGAAACTATTTAGTTGACTTTAACAAAAAGCCCAATAAAATTGGCTTATGAGATAAAATGCACACATCATGTTAAAATCTGCAGTTCAAACTGCAGAAAGTTTTCAAATAAAAGGGAAAACTCCGCAGCAGTCAAAAGGAAGAGATTTTTAACTTCGGCATCTAGATATTGAAAGGCAAGTAGGTATTTTCCAAACATGCTAAATGGACTGAAAAGTTAAAACAAGAACATAAATGAATATCAAGATAAACTGGGACAGAAAAGTTATCATACAAATAGACAACCTGCCTTTAAAAAACAAAACAGGCAACCACAGAGACTGATCAGGATTCCAGAAATAAATTTAACCAACCAAGAAAAGCAGGCAATATACATCAAAGATATATTTGTTACCACTTCATTCTGTTGCTTTAAACAACGCTCCCTGTCTTCAGCATATTTTTTCATCTCTTTGTTTCGCAGATTTTCTGCTTCTTTTGCTTGAGTGATAAGCATCATTTTTTCTTCTAACCATTTCTTTTTATCAGCTTTATATTTCTGTTCAGACTCCTATATGTATAAATGGTACAAATTATTAGAGAATGCCTAAGAAGTAGCCAATAAACCTGTTATTACAACATTTTGATATAGTCCATCACTTCACCTTTTTAAAAACTTTAAAATATTCTCAGGAGAGAAGTGATTTGGAAAAAAAAGAAAAAAGATAAAAACTTTAAAATAAGTGTTTTTCTTTAAAATAACAACAAGATTAGAGTTTATTTCAGGTTATAAAAATAAACATTAGCTGGTTTGCTTTCATAAACAGTATTTCCTATATAAACTTTATTTTGCTATAAATCACGTTTAAGTACTTTTATCAGTGAACTTAAGAAGAAATATACAACTTAAATTTCTGAAAGAGTTAAGTGTCTCAAGTCTTCCTGAATGCCAGGGGAAAAAAAAAGACTTGGTTTGTGGTGGTCATTTCTAACTGTATGGTTCCAAAAATAGAATATTCCTGGCTACAAAGGATGTCAGATAAAGAATAACTTGTGCAACAGGACAAACATTTATTAAAGGAACATTCAGAACAGCTAGACACAGAATACAGTTGACTGGTAATATTCAAACTGGTTCTATAGATCCTTTGGGTTCAGAAGCTTCTAATTTTATATATTCAAAAGCCAAGTAAAACTTCATTTGAAACAAAAACAGTAATACCACTTTAAAAACTTCTAAAACCACTGTACTAGATAAACTATGTCAGTCCGTTTCAGGATTACAAAGTTTGTAACCTAAGACAATGTGATTATAATGTGCAATACATTAAGACTTTTTTTTTTTTTTTTTCTGAGACAGAGTCTCACGCCCTGGCTAGAGTGTCGCCCTGGCTAGAGTATGGTGGCATCTGCCTAGCTCACAGCAACTTCAAACTCCTGGGCTCAAATCCTTCTCCTTCAGCCTCCCGAGTAGATGGTACTATAGGCATGCACCACCATACTCGGCAAATTTTTTCTATATATTTTTAGTTGGCCAATTAATTTCTTTCTATTTTTTAGTAGAGATGAGGTCTTGCTCTTGCTCAGGCTGGTTTTGAACCCCTGACCTTGAGCAATCCATCCACCTCAGCCTCCCAGCCACCTCAGCGTGAGCAAGACTTCTTAATATTAACATTCTCAATATGGTTGACATATTGTTTTTCATAATTAATGGAGTATTCTAGGTGCTTCTGAACTTTCACAATGAAAAGGATAAATTCTAGAATATATAACTATTACAAAGAAAATATTTTCCTAATTGTTTTCAATATCTGATTATATACAGCCTGAATTTAAGAAGTAGTTTAGATGCAGCCGACTTTCCAAAACCATTATGTTTCCTTCAATCCCAAAACTGCAATTGTGAATGCCACTTCTAATAAAATGTACAAAATTCTAAATAGTACTTGGTAAATCCCATGAAGAATGAAGCTACCATTTGTTGTATTCTACATAGTTTCATATGTATTCCAGTGGTCATATATATAATTCTATTCCAATTTAATAATTAAACTTTGAAGAGATTATTTAGAATAATCAAAATAATTATCCTGATGATCATTTTCTCCACAGCAGTATTTGATCAGTAAAAAGGCTAAGGAGTAGAAAAATGGGTACAAAGACATCGGAAGTGGGGGTTTAAGAATTAAATCTGTAAAACATAATATTGAGGACCCAATCACTGCATTTTTATTGGCACTAGTTTGTAATTTCCTGTCCATGTTATTATTATGTACACTGAAATACTGTATCTATATATTAATATCTCTCAGGTATTATTTCACTTATATCTAAATTAATTACAAAAAATAAAATACTGGGGCCGGGCGCGGTGGCTCACGCCTGTAATCCTAGCACTCTGGGAGGCCGAGGCGGGCGGATTGCTCAAGGTCAGGAGTTCAAAACCAGCCTGAGCGAGACCCTGTTTCTACCATAAAAATAGAAAGAAATTAATTTGCCAACTAATATATATATAATATAAAAATCAGCTGGGCATGGTGGCGCATGCCTGTAGTCCCAGCTACTCGGGAGGCTGAGGCAGGAGGATCGCTTGAGCCCAGGAGTTTGAGGTTGCTGTGAGCTAGGCTGACGCCACGGCACTCACTCTAGCCTAGGCAAGAAAGCGAGACTCTGTCTCAAAAAAAAAAAAATAAAATAAAATAAAATACTGAATTCTCTCATTAGAACTATAATGAAGATATGGATGGATAGATACATACATACATAGAAACACAAATAGATACATAGATAAAATCATACCTGCAACTCCTCTTGAAGATTACTGAGCTTTTTACTAAGTATGTCAGTGTTGTCCTCAAGTTCTTTATTTGACTTTTGATCACTTTTAGTTTCCAGATCTTTACATTTTTCCTTCCATTTTTCCAATTCTGATTTGAAGACATAAAATTATTTTTAAAAGCACATGCAAAAGTTAAACCAAGTAGAAATTTATGTGATAGGAGATACAAACATAAATCAGAAGAGCCCAGAAAAAGAAGAACATAGACCAAGATGGAACCAGAAGATTCCACAGCTGAACTTTTAAGAGTTCTTACCAAATTCTTAGTGAACAGGAACTACACAGATCTCTCAAGAACCTAATGAATAGTGTCCAAAGTATATAGTATAAATTCATATAAACCTTATTAATTATATAAGAAACTTAAAACAGTTCTCAGAAAAGAGTTATAACATGTCCATAATAGTGGCTAGAAAAGTATGTACTCATCATCATTAACATCATTATCATCAACACAATTTCACCCACCAAAATACAGTTTTAGGGTTTACACAGAATTCTTATATTTATCATCTCATCTGATCTTCCTAACAATAAGATTATACATGGCATTATTATCATTAACCATGTTACAGATGAGAAAATTAGACTGAGTCAGCACAAGTATACCACTAAGGTTATATTATATCTTGTATGTTTATCTCAATAAATACTCTGATTTCATTGCCTTCAGAATGCCATCAGAGATTTTCTACTGTATGTGAAAAAATATAACACTTATTTACTAATAATCAAGCTATGTGTGATTCTTGTAGAATGGGCAAGACATTGCATTTCTTATGCATTAAGAAATGCATTAAGAAATTACATATGTCAGTTTATATATAATACAAGATAAGGCTAAAAGCTTGACAGAGGTGAAACTCAGTTAAAGACTTATTCTTAACATCTTTGGAACATTGCAAGTTATCACCCATAATTTGCAATTTATAATTCATAAGTTATCATGGAGTGTCCTTATTCCTTCTTTACTACATGTGATTTTACTTTGATAAAAGTTTTCATCACAGTAGAAAATGACAAGTGACAAGACATTGAAAAAACACACCAAATGCTTTTCTATTATGAATTATAAATACTATGCTATTTTAAAAAGGGAAGAAATCTAGGAAAATAAAGAAAAATCAAAGAATATGTTTTGAGAAATGTAACTACACTTGTTTTACCTGTGAACAGTCTTTCAATTTCCTCTAATTTAGCTTCAAGCATTTGATCTTGTTCTACCTGAGTTTGTTCTTGTTCTTCCAGTGTCATTCGCATGCCTTCAATTATTTTCTCTTTAACACTTAGATCTAAAAGTTTGGGGAGAACATTTTAAAAATTAGTAATATCTAGATATCCAATTTTTCTTAATTTCTTCTAAAATTAAAATGCATTTTTATTAACTGTACTAGAATATGAGCTCCACATAGGGAGAAACTTTGTCTTGTCCACTGTTACTAATATATGCTCAATGCCAAGAACAATACTGGTACTTATGAAGCATTAAATATATATTTGGAGACAGGCATTGTAGCTCATGCCTATAATCCTAGCACTCTGGGAGGTCGAGTCAGGAGGATTGCTTGAGGTCAGGAGTTTGAGACCAGCCTGAGCAAGAGCGAGACCCCATCTCTATAAAAAATAGAAAAACTAGCCAGGCATGGTGGTGCACACGTGTAGTCCCAGCTACTTAGGAGGCTGAGGCAGGAGGATCATTTGAGCCCAGGAGTTTGAGGTTCAAGTGAGCTATGATCACAACACTACATTCTGGCCTGGATAACAGGGCAATTTGTCTCAAAAAAATATGTAGATATAGATATAGATTTGGTGTACAGATGGATGCTTGATGATTGCAAAAATAAATGAATGAAATGATCTACAGAATAAATGCAAGCCCCATCAAAGTACTATCATCATTCTTTACAAATCTAGAAAAAATAATTCTTCACTTAGTATGGAACCAAAAAAGACCTCCTATAGACAAAGCAATCTTAATTTAAAAAGAACAAACTGGGGGGGAAGGATCAAGATGGCGGACGAGGAACACTGCCAAACAGAGTGTCTCTGCAGAAAAGACAGATTCTAGCAAAAATTAGAAAAAAAGAAGCAAGAAGACAAGCATACAGCGAACGAGGGATGGAAGGAGGGGTACCTGAGACCCCAGGAGACTCCACGGGAGGAGACTGCGGAGGAGAACTGGAGGCTGAGACCACCGGAGCAGCCCGGAGACCAGCGGGAAGGGTAGGTGGATAATTCACCTTTCCCCTCCCCTGTATTTGGGACTGCTGGTGGGCTCCCCAGCGGGTGGAGAGACCTGCGGACACCAGCCCAGAGACAGCCGCCGCAAGCTAGCAGTGAGCCTGTAGCAGACACGGCACCAGGCTCCCAACTCCCTCCCTGCACCTCTGTGTGCACAGACCCAAGCCAGGGGGCAGACGCCATATTGCCTTCTTCTCCCCTCCACCGACCCTACTCCCGGCTGCCCAGAGAGACAATATAGCCACCAGCGGGAGGCACCTCCAGGGAACGGGACCTTCCCTTTTGGGACCCTACAGCTGACTCAGGGGAACTCAGACTGTGAGCTCCCTACCCGCCAGCCCTCCCAGGTGCTGCTAGCACGGTGTTCCCAGGAGAACGGAGCCGACTCAGAGGCTGAGAGACATAGACCCAGCTTGGGCTCCCTGTGGGTGAATTGGGACTGGAACTCCTCTCCCTGGTGGGGATACAGTTTGAAATCTGGGACCCAGAGGTCCAACCTGCAGACCAGATCCTGTGCACCGAGGGCTAGCATTGCCCGGGGCACAGGAGGGATATACGTGAACAGCCTACCTAGGTATATGTGCCTTCAGGGGCAGATCAGCGTCCTAGAGGGCAACCCTCCTCCCAAAAGGAGGCTGTACGCTTAGCGCAGGTGGCCTTCCTGCGCAGGGAACCTCCCCGCCAGCATCACAGTCCGGGGAGGCCTGGTGGCGTGTGGTCTGGCCTGCTGGCAAAGGCCCAGGAGTAGCTGCGGAGTTGGGGAGGGTGGAAAGAAGCGAGGCACGCTCCAGACTGCGGGTCTCAGACAGCCCCACCCCCACACCCAGACTTTCTGGCTGAGCAGGACCATTCCAGCCCCTTACAGCTTTTCCTGGAAGCACAGAACTTTGACCCCTGCTAACGGCATTGGTGGTGCCTGAGGGCAGGCTTTCCCAACCAGCTCTGCCCAAAACAAGAGCTGATAACAGTACACAAAATCAACAGCATAGCCTGTTCCTGCAAGCAAGCGCGACCTACTGACAGGGACAGCATCCTGCACAGCCTTTTCACGCCACCCACTGACTCATTATACAGGGAGTGGTCCAATTTCACCCACAGACACCACCTAACGGTTCAGAAACTAAACAAGGTGTGTGAATTTCCAAACAAAAACCTAAAGGAAAGAAACAACAACTGATCGACATGGGAAGAAATCAGCGAAGGAACTCAGGAATTATGAAGAACCAAACGGAAAACACACCCCCAAAGAGGAGCACCAGCCCCCTAGAAATGGACACCAACCCAAATTAGGCAACCAAAATGACAGAAAAGAAGTTTCGTATGTGGATCATAAGAACACTCACCGACCTGCAACAACAACTCAATAACCAAAACAAAGAAACCACAAAAAGCCTCCAGGACCTAGAACAAAAGTTCACTAAAGAAATAGACACAATGAAGAAAAGTTTAACCAAATTCCTGGAAATGAAGAATCAATTCAGTGAACTACAAAATACAGTGGAAAGTGTCAAGAACAGGGTAGATCAAACAGAAGAAAGAATCTCAGAGATTGAAGATAACAACCTCCAACTAAATAAAACCATCACAGAGATAGAGCAGAGAAACAAGAGAAAAGAGCAAAGCCTACAAGAGATGTGGGATTATGTGAAGAAACCTAATGTGAGGGTCATAGGGTTACCAGAAGGGGAAGAAGACAATACTCATGGGTTGGACAAGCTATGTGAAGATATAATAGAGGAAAATTTCCCAGGCCTTGCTCAAAATCTTGATATACAACTTCAAGAAGCTCAGAGGACCTCTGGGAGATTCAACGCAAACAGGAAGACGTCACAACATGCAGTCATCAGACTGACCAAAGTATCAACTAAAGAGCAACTTCTAAGAGCTGTAAGACAAAAGACAAGTGACATACAAGGGAAACCAATTCGAATAACACCAGACTTCTCTAATGAGACTTTACAAGCAAGAGAGACTGGGCCCCATTCTCACTCTTCTGAAACAAAACAATGCCACCTAGAATTCTATACCCAAAACTAAGCTTCATAATGAAGGAGAAATAAGTCATTCCAGACAGGCAAAGTCTCACAGAATTTACCAAGACAAGACGCCCTACAAGAGTAGTCAAAACAGTGTTACACATGAACACCATAATAAAAACCACGAATATAAAAAACAACCAAACCAAAGATTAAAGGCCAGTAATACAAATGACTCAAGAGAAAAATGAAAGCAACAACATCCAACCCAACAGATGAACAGTCATCTACCTTACCTATCAGTTCTCTCATAAAATGTGAATGCTTAAATCTCCACTCAAGAGACATAGCTGGCTGAATGGATAAGAAAATACAGGCCAAGTATATGCTGTCTTCAGGAACACATCTAACCAGCAAAGATGCATATAGACTAAAGTAAAGGGTGGAGATCAGTATTCCAGGCAAGTGGCCAAAAGAGGCTAGCGTGGCAGTTCTAATTTTCAGACCGATTTAGTTTTTAAAGCAACAAAAGTAGTGAAACAAAGAGGGCATTATATAATGGTGAAGGGCACAGTCCAACAAGAAGAGATAACAATTTATATATGCACCATTAGGTGCATCAAGTTTCATAAAGCAAACCTTACTGGATCTAAACAAATGGATTAATAGCAACTCCATAATCACCAGAGATTTCAACACCCCACTGACGGCACAAAACAGATCCTCCAAACAGAAAATTAAAAAAGAAATACTGGATTTAAACAAAATCTTAGAACAATTGGGTCTTACTGACATCTACAGGACATTCTACCCAAAATCCACTGAATATACGTTCTTTTCATCAGCTCACAGGAAATTCTCTAAGATTCACCATATCCTAGGACACAAAGTAAATCTCAAGAAATTTAAAAAATAGAAAATCATACCATGTACCTTCTCAGATCACGTGGATAAAACTGGAAATCAACCCTAACAAACTCACATTTCTACACAAAAACGTGGAAATTAAACAACCTCCTACTAAATGATTACTTCATAAATGAAGAAATCAAGATGGAAATAAAAAAATTCTATGAAGAAAACGACAATGGAGAGACAGTTATCAAATCCTCTGGGAACAGCTAAAGCAGTCTGAGAGGAAAGTTTATCTCCATAAATGCCTATAACCCAAGAACAAAGATCACAAATAGACAATCTAACGAAATGACTCAAAGAGCTGGAAAAAGAAGAACAGACCAACCCCTAACCCAGCAGAAGAAGTGAAATCAACAAGATCAAATCAGAACTAAACGAAATTGAAAACAGGAAGCTATTCAGGAATTAATAAACAAAAAGTGGTTCTTTGAAAAATAAACAAAATTGACACACCATTGGCTAAGCTAACGAAAAGCAAAAAAAGAGAAATCTCTAATAAGCTCCATCAGGAATAAAAAGGAGATATCACAACTGATCCCAAAGAGATACAAGATACAATTTATGAATACACCAAAAATCTTTATGCACACAAACAGAAAAATGTGGAGGAAATGGACAAATTTCTGAAACACACATGCCCCTAGACTCAACCAGGAAAAAATAGATTCCTGAACAGACAATCTCAACAGCTGAAATAGAAACAGCAATTAAAAATCTCCCTAAAAAGAAAAGTCCCGGTCCAGATGGCTTCACTCCTGAATTTTACCACACTTACAAAGAGAACTAGTACCTTCTTGCAGAAACTATTCCACAACATCGAGAAGAACGGAAACCTTCCCAACACCTTTTATGAAGCGAATATTACTCTGATACCAAAACAGGAAAGGATGCAACAAAAAAAGAAACTACAGACCAATATCCTAATGAATATAGATGCAAAATTTTCAACAAAAGCTTAGCTAACCGAATCCAGACGCTTATCAAAAAAATAATCCATCACGACCAAGTGTGCTTCATCCCAGGGATGCAGGGATGGTTCAACATACGTAAATCTACAAAAGCAATTCACCACATAAACAGAAGCAAAAACAAGACCACATGATTCTTTCAATAGATGCAGCGTTTGAGAAAATTCAACACCTTTCATGATACGAACACTT